TTACCTGAGAAATCACCTCTCTTTCCCTGCCATAAGCCATTGTAGAGATCAACATGAATACTCATGTCTCAGCACCCTCAATGTAAATGAAAGGGAGCTGCTGTCAGCATGTTCTCTGAAAAGGATACTCCACTTTGGGACCTACTTTCCCTTTGGTCCACCAGATCCTGTATTTGGGAAGTCTGCAGAACCCATCCGTTCTCAGGTTATTGAAGAGGGGATGGGCTGAGGATTTGGTGGATGAATATGAGACGCTTTCATTTGTATATTTCTAATTTATGGGAGAGGGCCGCAGAGCCAGACGTGGGTACCTATAGATTTTTTTAGGGACACTAAGAAATAATAGTAATATTGGTAAAATAGTACGATAGGGTTTTTTTCATTCTCCAACTAGATATTGATTTCTGGTAGGTAGCTATTCAGCTGCTCACAGGAAATAGCAGCTATTTCTTATCTTGCTTGTAGAATTTAATGCATATTAGAACAGTTTTCATTGAAGGAGGAAAACCTAAGTGAACTGTATATATAACTCAGGGCTGAATTAAATACATCTCAGTGTTCATTGTAAAACCATGAGGATTTGCAAAGCTCCAGTTTGCAACAGCTTACCAAGAAAAATAGATATCTGAAAACTACAAGGAAAAAAAAAAAGAGTTAAAAATCCAATGTAAAGTTGTAACAGGGTTCAAGTCCTACCCTTCTTCCCGGGGCCCGCTTGCTGCCCCCAATAAGGCTCCGAGAGGCTTCCGGGTTGTGAAACGCACATCTTTATTTATATAAGGTTCTCCCACCACCAGTGGGTATCTATATACAAGTCTTGCAGGATTAGTCACCTCCTTTACAGGCAGAGGCAGCCTTCAGCTAGGAAGCCTGACTGACTGACTTCTCCCTAGCTCCCTCCCAGCCTTTTGGCTTGTCAGGCCAGCAGGTGTCGCCAATCCTCAGGCCAGCATCAGGCCTTTTCCATCAGCCCCAATCTGTTTCCCCTGATTGGAGCTGACTGGACAGGGGCTAATTAGGTGCTTCTGTACCAGCACCCTGCTAGATAAGTCTACCCATTTCAACCAGAGTCTGTTTCTTAGTTCAGGGTTCCTCAAAGGTCCCCTCCCCGCCCCTCAACATGCATCAAATTTCAATAGAAAGATTGTGATGTGGACCACCTCTTCTATCATTGGCTATCATACAAGCCACCTCCTTTGCTAGTAATAGCCCCATAGTTTCCCTGTGGCATACAAAGAAATTGCATACTTAAATAGGCATGTATTTTTAGCTGCCATTTGATGCAAGCTGGCAGCAGGAGAAGGGGAGCTGACTGTTGCTGTCATTCACACTAAGATTTATGTGCATGTAAAATGTCATGCAAATCGGGATGCTGTGGTTTTCTTTCATTGATATAATCCACAAGAATTTTCCTATGTTTTAGTAATAGATTTCTAGGTAAAGCTACAACCTCTTAAAGAGACATATTGTATTTTGAATAGTATGTGATTATGTCTGTACAAAAACATGAAGGCCCCATTCAGTGCACATCACAACTAGCAGGCTGAATATCATGAAAATCCATGGAGACCAAGGTAGAAAGAATCATCCCCACATGGCTGGGAAGCTGGACTCCTAGCACCACAGAAGGTATATACCCCTTACATAGACTTCCATGGTCTAGGCACCCAACGCAGCAGAACCATACCAATTTCTCTGCTTAGAGGGGCCTTCCATTATGGGAGAAGGAAGATTTGTCCCTAAAAGGGTTTAAAAGTTTTAGGGGCTGATTCTTCACTACCTTGCAGTTTGTATAGTCATTTATACCTGTGTCAAATGAGTCTGAGACTTCACCAAATCAGAATAGTAGCCTGGTACAAGGGAGTAGGGAATTAGGGCGTCAATGTTCAGTACTGTCAGAGCAACAGCCTGGTTCCTCCATCAAATTCTGCCCTACGGGTAGCTGTGAGTGCGCTCTCGTCAAGTCACAGTTAAGGCTCTCATTTTCCCTTTGACCATTAATTGTACTGTTTACAAGACACATGGTACCAGTATGCCATTCTTATTTAAACACCTTTCTCCAACTCATTTTAAGTGGAAAAACCAAAGGTAGAACTAAAAAGAAAAAACTACACAGCTTAGAATTTTGCAAGGTAAGGTCCTTATACCCAGAAAATGCATTTTGGATAATAACTATCTGCTATGGAAGCAATATTTATCAGATTTCATCTTTCATTTGAAAAAAAAATTAAGGACTAGAAATATCAATTTACTGTTCTTGAATTTATAGAATACTAAAACATTTCCTTTCGGGATGCCCTAAATTCAAGCTTTTTTAGAGGGGAGGCATCTAGATAGAAGACTATTAGAATTAGGAAGCAGGAGAGAAGTTCTGGATCCTCTCACATTGCTTGAAATTCATCTTAATCCAGAGGGCCTGCAGGCAGCCCTCTCCAACACTGAAGGAATTAACAAATGAGGTCTACATGTCCAGGCGCATACTCCCTCTCTAGCATTCATTACTTTGTATATCTGTATCACATTTCCTCCCTCTTATTCATTTCCTCTTTAAAGTAAACAGTCCCAGTCTTTTCAGCACCCCTTCATATGGAAATTTACCATGCCGCTACTCATTCTCACCACCCCTTTCTTCACTCTATTTCTGCTCTATTTTAAATAAGCTGATTCTTTATGATCACAGATTGAAAGAGTTGTCGGTCCTATTTTTTGTGTCCATCATGGCCATTTTATGAACTCAAAATACAGGTGAAACAATATACGAAGGATAAGAACAATTACCAATTAAAAACACATAATAGGAAAAATAGAAGAGTTGCTGTGGATTGGTTTAATTTTTCCCCATAAGGACTCTTATCCTTTAGTCAGTCTGAAATGAAGTGTCCTATCAGTTCAATCTTATACTTTAGAAATTCAATGCATGTTGCTGCTAGATTTAAGTGCCATTTTTAATTGCTGATGAAATGCACTGACCCGTTCTTTCTGAGCTGGCCAATCCAAGATGCAGCGAGATTTGAACATTCCTCTTCTCAAGCAAAGTGCATGATTCAGTTTGTAATCTGGAATGTCATGAAGGAAGATCAGTATGATGGAATCCCGACTTTGCTCAATAGCTTGCTGGACAGCATGGTACACCTTGAACCTTAAGCAAAAAATAAGGCAATTAAAAAATGGTGTCTTGAAAGTACATGCTATATAACTACACAGAGCTTATGAATGATTGAGTCAGCTGACTTATGTAGGGATGAGTGACATCAAATAATTTTCTGTGATAGCCCCACAAAAGGTCAGTGCCGAATCTGTATATAGTTTTTAACATTTAACCTTTATGAGAATACTGGTATTACATAAATAAATCACTCATTTTTTAATTTAACTAAAAAAAAATTAATAATAATTTCCCCTCCAAGAAATTAACTCAAGTTAACTGTCTCAATTTTAGGCTCACTTAGTATACAGTCTTCTTTCTGTCAGTCACCCAAACTGGCAGTGGGAAGGCCCTGGCTCAAAAAAATGATCTTTGTATGTTTACAACCTCACCAATCATTGTCTTGTCTCAAACATTTATTTTTAGGGAAGATCATCTGAAGGGAAATGATGGTTTGATTGACTAGACAAGCAGGAAGATTATGAGCCAAATTCTGCTTTCAGTTACACTGGGATACATCTGGAGTATCTCCATTAAATGTCAGACAGTTACACTCATGTCACAAAGTATAATTTGCCCTGGACTTTCTGTTTTCAAGAAAGTAGACCACTGTCTTAGAGATGACTGCATTAAAGATCTGCTGAACAAGTGTTATTCACACACATGCACATACACACACATACTCACTTTTTGCACCAGGGATCTTTTAAGAGATGTTCAGTGACAACAAAGATAATCTTCCGACTTTTTTTTATACTATTAATAGTGGCTTCAAATTCAGATATGCCTGCTTCAAAGTCTCGTTCCTCTAAACAAAACCTAATTTGAGACTGATCATTTTCTTCCAGAGGAATGAAGTTCTTGGACACCCAATTTCTGTCCCTTCTTGCATGAATAATGTAGGCATCATAATCAAATTCTTCCTGTTGCCTGTCTATTTCTGTAAAACCAAGTACTCGATTTACTGACACATTCCAGTAAAATGCTATCCTCCAGCCTTCAAAATGGATAAGAATAACAATAAAGAGGAGCAGCATTATCACAGTGGTGCTTATTATATACAGTAATTTAAAAGGGGCACTATCTTTGCAGGGTGAAATGTCAAAATGCATCACCAGATTACTATGATATTTAGGTGGTGTGTTGCAAAGGTAATGGGTATCTAATCCAGGTATGTTTGTTTGGGTCACATTAAGCCAACTAACAAACCAGGAGATACTTTCACAGGTGCAGTCAAATGGATTGGAATCCATCTCTAGTTCTTTCAGATTCTTGAAAGCTGTCCCAAACACTTTTTCTTCAACAGATGTTATAAGATTTTTCTGAAGGATCAATGAATTCAGAGATATCTGGTCATCAAACAAAGATGCTGGAAGCAAGTTCAAATTATTTGATCCTAAATCCAGGCTTCTTAATTGAAACAATCCCTTGAAAACTTGTACTGGAATCTCATCCAAGCCATTAGACTTCAAATTAAGTATATGCAGGTTAAGAAGATCTTTTAAAAAAAGGACAGGGCCACCCGGATTGGCATGTTTCCAAAGTCGAGCCAAATTATTATGTTGCAAATCCAGAATTTCAAGTTTGTGAAGTCCATCAAACAAATCATCTTTTACATTAGCTAGATTGTTGTTGCTGATATCCAGGATGGTTAGATTCCGTAGAGGGTGAAAAGGTGAAGGAGAGAGGTCCAGATTGCTACAAGCTACCTTCCGTAGCATCAGTTTTCTAAGGCTTGGAACAAAAGCAAACGATTCGCTTGTCAAAGTCAACTGTTTGTTGTAGGAAAGGTAGATATCCTCAATATTTTGCAGACCTTTAAACTCATGACCTGTGAGCATCTGGTTTATTTCATTGAGTCCCAAATCAAGAATTTTTAGGTGTCCCAACCAAGAAAATGCTCCACTTTCTATTTTTGTGATTCTACTTTTTGTAAGATTAAGAAACTGCAGAGTAGAATTAGCAAGTGATGAAAACGTTTTATTAGTTATTATTTGTAAGCCATTGGTCCAGTTACATAGACTCAAATATTTCAGATTGTCCAAGCCTGTGAACATATTAGGAGTAATTGCTTGAAAATTATTACTATCTATAAGAAGATACTCTAAATGGCTTAGCCAACGAAAGGAGAAATCATCAATTTTTCTGACATGTGACCGTCTCAGATTCAAATATTTGACATTGGACAATCCATACAATGAATGAGAAGATAAGTGATAAATCCTATTATCCTCTAGGTTTAAATTCTCTAAGTTTGAAAGCCAGGTAAAAGAGTCATTGTCTATCATGTTCAAATAATTTTTGGAAAGGTTTAAAGCTGTGATGTTTGTTGTTTGCAGTCCATGGAAGGTTGACTTGTAAATATAAGAAAGCTGGACCTGGCTCAGTGACAGATTCTGAATTCTTGTGCCTGATAATTCCAAGCAAAGTTTCTCTGTGTGATTTTCGCCAAGCTCAACGTTGTTCAGCACAAGGCCATACAGATTTCCAATTGCATGTAAACAACCTGTGTGAAACTAGAAGGAAAAAACATTAATGATTTTGACATTAAAAAGAAAAAAAAAACCTAAGAAAGTTGTTCCATAAAGCCAAAAGCTGGAAAGTTCTTCAAATCACTACCATAGACCAAGAATACAATTTAAATTAACTCATAGATTTTCACTAAATTCCACAGGATTTAACCAAACTTTGTTTTAAAGTGTGTTATATTTCTATAGTAATGGTTCAAAACACTGTAATACCCATGAAAATTAATATTTTTCATCAGTAATGAAAAAACCTACCTCACTTTTACAGTAGATACATGAAAGTGATTTAAAGTCTGTGTCTAATTCTCATTTAACTCTGAATCTTTAGCGGTAACTTGGAAATATATGTAACAAATCTCTCTGCCATGTATTTCCTGTGAGGTTTCATTTACTGATCTATTGTCAAGAAGTGTCAATATGACACTAAATGAAGGAGAACATGGAATACTTTGGACAAAAAAAAAAAAAGTAAGAAGTATTTAGGCCTACAACAACAGTCAAGATTAACTCAGCCTCCTTTATGTGGGCACAATATGCACTCATGAAACTAGAGCCCATACATTTTTCCACAAAATGAATGGCAGTTACAAATCAGAATATTTGCCCCTCTTCTTGATTCGTTACCAGAATTGATGAGTGATAGGCACAAGTACTCATCTGTGCTAGTACATGAGCTAGAAAGAACACAGGTTGACTTTCAGAGCTGACAGGGGGGTAGGAGGGAGAGAGACAACAACAAAACCAATACCAATTTACTTGTGAAATGAGTATACTTATCTTGAAAGTCAGGGAGGACTCAACAATGCCATTTTTGCAATCACTTTTCAGGGCAGAACCATATTTTAATGCTGCATTGATTGGAATGTACATGTGTAGTACATAAATAGCATGCAGGGAGTAAACTTGGATAGAGGACATCCACTTTTTAATCTATTTGTATGCTTTTCTACTGTGCTCATTTTCATAATATCTGAGCACTTTGCATGAATGAATTTAGCTAACACCATCTCTGTGAGCTAGGTAAAGGTTAGGAAATGCAAGGACAGACTGATTAACTAGTTTGTCCAAGATACCAGGGGACTATTTATGGCAGAACTAGGAATAAAACCCAGATGTTGGCAGTTCTTGTACAATGCATTGATAACCAGAGCCATTGGAACTTCAGTTAAAAGAGTCAGAGAGGTGGTGTGATGTCAGGGAAGATGCCACAGAGGGGGAAGAAATATGCAGGAGAGAGAAGAAAGGAAGACGAGAAACAGAAAAACAAAAGTGGGCAATGGCACACAGATAAGAAACAAGGAATGAAGGTGACAGTTGAACAAAGGAAGGGCAATGGGGAAGAGAATACAATGCAAGAGAGCAAAGGAAGTGGACAGCAGAGAATAAATGCAAAGGAGAAAGAGGGAAAGGAAAATTGATGCTTCTTTTCAAGAAAAAAACAGACAATATTGTGGAAAAAAGGTTAGTACATTTATTTTTGTTTTTGTAGTATTTTGTTGCATTTCCCTGGCGAACATCTCTAAGTTCGTGGGGAAAGAGATGGAATGGCTATTTTGAGCACTTATAGTACATTTATGTTGCTGCTTATCTTGTCTAGCTACTACGGTTGAATGTGTTTTCTTGGGATATGTCTACACTACATTTTAAAATCCAGAGCAGCAAGTTTCAGAGGCCTGGTCTATAGACTCAAGCTCACAGGCCTTGACCTATGGCACTAAAAACAGCAGTGCAGAAGCTGTGGCTTGGACCGGAGCTTAGCTCTGAAGCCCTCCCCAACCCAACCTTCAGAGCCTGAACCCTTTGTCCACACGTAGCTGTTTTTAGCACGAGCCCCATGAGCCCAAGTCTGTAGACCTGGGCTCCGAGACTCACTGCCACAGGGTGAAATTTAATAGTGAGAAGTGTAAGGTTATGCATTTAGGGATGACTAACAAGAATTTTAGTTATAAGCTGGGGATGCATCAGTTGGAAGTAACGGAAGAGGAGAAGGACCTTGGAGTCCTGGTTGATCGCAGGATGACTATGAGTCGGCAATGTGACGTGGCCATGAAAAAAGCTAATGCGGTCTTGGGATGCATTAGGCGAGGTATTTCTAGTAGGGATAAGGAGGTGCTGGTTCCGTTATACAAGGCACTGGTGAGACCTCATTTGGAGTACTGTGTGCAGTTCTGGTCTCCCATGTTTAAAAAGGATGAAATCAAACTGGAACGGGTACAAAGAAGGGCCACTAGGATGATCCGAGGAATGGAAAATCTGTCGTATAAAAGGAGACTCGATGAGCTCGGTTTGTTTACCTTAACCAAAAGAAGGCTGAGGGGGGATAGGATTGCTCTCTTTAAATATATCAGAGGGATAAATACCAGGGAGGGAGAGGAATTATTTCAGATCAGTACTAATGTGGACACGAGAACGAATGGATATAAACTGGCCGTCGGGAAGTTTAGGCTTGAAATTAGACGAAGGTTTCTAACCATCAGAGGGGTGAAGTTTTGGAACAGCCTTCCCAGGGAAACAGTGGGGGCAAAAGACCTCTCTGGCTTTAAGATTAAGCTTGATAAGTTTATGGAGGGGATGGTTTGATGGGATAAAGTGATTTTAGTCAATAGGTCAATAACGTGCCATCGCTGGTAATTAGTAACAACGGTCAATGATGGGATATTAAAAGTTACTACAGAGAACTTTTTCCAGAGGGTCTGGCTAGAGAATCTTGCCCGCATGCTCGGGGTTCAGCTGATCGCCATATTTGGGGTTGGGAAGGAATTTTCCTCCAGGGTAGATTGGCAGAGGCCCTGGAGGTTTTTCGCCTTCCTCCGCAACATGGGGCAAGGGTCGCTTGCTGGAGGATTCTCAGCGATTTGAAGTCTTTAAATCATGATTTGGGGACTTCAACAGCTGAGTCAAGGGAGAGAATTATTCCAGTAGTGGGTGGGTCAGCTTTTGTGGCCCGCATCATGCGGGAGGTCAGACTAGATGATCATAATGGTCCCTTCTGACCTTAGAGTCTATGAGGGTTTAAAATGCAGTGTAGATGTACTTTTGGTTACTAATTGTGGCACGATCCTGCTCCCATTTATTTCAGTGGAAGCTGAATCATGCCCTTTATCACTCAGTCTTAACTAGTAGTAACAATATTGCATCTTTACAAATCCGAAATGCTTAAATAAAAGGAAATGAGTAGTTAAGTGCATTAGAAATCTTACTCCACCTACATAATAAACCAACTCACAATATCAAGAATAAAGTAATGTGCATTTTATTACAACAGAACAATATTACCCCTGACCAAAATGAATACTATTCTTTTATCAGTGATTGCAAAATAGAAAAATTATGAGTCAGATCTTCAGCTGGTGTAAATCATTTATACCAGCTGAGGATGTGGTCTTGTATTTCTTACCTCTTTCAGTGGGTTTGATGATAAGTCAAGCCTATTTAAGGAAGTCTTGCTAAGAAAATCTAGTTCTTCCTTTTTTAACTCAGTGATTTTATTCTCTGATAGCACGAGCTCACGAAGGCTCTCCAACTGTTGCTGAGATCCTAATTTTGTAGAAAGCAAACGATTATGAGATACATCCAGTTTGTTCAAATTCTGGGGGGGGGAAAAACAGGTGAAAATACAATAACAAGTTAGATACCTTTGGAATTATTTTAGCCATTCTGAGGTTAAAAATTGGTCACATCATCACAATTAGGAGAGCAATAGAACAAAAATTGTAACACAGAGAAACACATACATTGGAAGGCAATAGTCTGTCTACATCAGATGTCACCCATTATGAGAATCCTTAAGCTAGATGACCAACATGGCTTCAGGTGCCAACCTCCAGTCTCCTGCAGGAGAAAGCCCCCTGACATCACACACAGCAAGCTACAACCATTCGGTGATCTTGACCTGACATGACATGGTAAAAAGCAAGCTGCTTATCTAAAACTCCTCCTCCTGCTAAAGGCCAAAAGGACAGCAAACAGTTAGCCCAGGACTTGAATTCTATTCTCACCACTCCCTCTGAGAGGCCTTAATCCTTTTACTTAGTAAACATTATTTAGTTGCATTTCAACATTCTGATGAGGTAAGCAAGTACATCTCTACCTCGATATAACGCTGTCCTCAGGAGCCAAAAAATCTTACCACGTTATAGGTGAAACTGTGTTATATCGAACTTGCTTTGATCTGCCGGAGTGCACAGCCCCGCACCCCCTGGAGCACTGCTTCACCGCGTTATATCAGAATTTGTGTTATATCGGGTCGCGTTATATAGGGGTAGAGGTGTATCTACATTTTACAGAGCAGTTAACTGGAACACAGAGTTTAAGGGGGTTGCTCAGACTTGCCTAAGGCAGCCAACCAACGTGAGAGAAGTTTTTAGAGCCTACCTATTGGCCCAGTTCTCTGTTGTTCTAAGGCCCTTTTATGCAGCCCCCAGATTGATGCTGAGCTGGTGGAATAGCTCTATGTTCACTCTTATCACAGACCCCCCCATGCTATAGTACGGGGAGGTTATTCAGCAGTAGCTGCCAGGTCACCTGCACTCTGACTAACTAGAAGATCAGGCATCTCCTCACCACTCACATCCTCACTGGGGCCAGAAGGCTCACTGTGAACATGTGTGTCTATGTATCTCAGGAGAGCGCCTTCCCGCTTAGATAGAAAGCAAAGGAAGCTTTTCTTTCTTTTTCTGAATGCTGCCCCAGAGGGGTGTTTTCTTCTTTCTCTCACGACTGTTCTGTGCCAGCTCTAGTGGCCCTCAACACTCAATTGAAGGGGACAAATAAGCCGGCTGGTAGCAGGGCCTGAGTGAGGGAAGAGATCAGCATCTTAAGGGCCTAACTGGCTCCTACTATTTCAGTTGACTGCCTGTTCTCCTCAAGTGGGTTCAGGGAAGCAGCAGGAAACAGGAAGCTCTCTGAGAAGCTGGTGTTAATCAGTCCAGGCTCCTGGGGGTGCTAGAGAGGTACATAAGAGGCTCCTCCTCCTCTCTCTCCCAGCAACTCCTGCTGCTTTCTATTATTCCCTTTCACCTTTTCTTCTGCCTGCCTGTTATGTCTCTTGTGCCCTCCTTCCTCCAGCACAGCACTCTACCATCTCTGTGCATCTAGAGCAGAGAGAATACACACGCACCAGCAGCAGACAATTTTCTACGCTCTGGGTCCTAGTGGCGTCCCCACCCCCAGTCTGGCACCTGAGGCGGCCACCTCAGTTCGCCTCATGGTAAGGCCAGCCCTGCTCTCCTGCGCTGCGTTAATCAAATGAAATGGAGAATAAAGTCTTTTGTCTTCTACACAATAGGCCATATCTTATAAAAACAATCTGATTTAGGTGGGGATTAGATCCCGCTTTGAGCAGGGAGTTGGACTAGATGACCTCCTGAGGTCCCTTCCAACCCTTCTATGATTCTATAAGAACAGCCATACTGGGTCCATCCAGCAGAACAGGTAATAATCAAGTGATCCATCCCCTGTTGCCCATTCCCAGCTTCTGGCAAACAGAGGCTAGGGACATCATCCCGGCTACTAACCATTGATGGATCTATCCTCCATGAACTTATCTGGTTCTTTTTTGAACCCTATTATAGTCTTGGCCTTCACAACATCCTCTGGCAAGGAGTTCCACAGGCTGATAGTGCATGGTGTGAAGAAGTACTTCCTTTTGTTTGTTTTAAACCTGCTGCCTATTAATTTCACTTGGTGCCCGCTAGTTCTTGTGTTATGAGAAGGAGTAAATAACACCTCCTTACTTTCTCCACACCAGTCATGATTTTATAGACCTCTATCATATCCCCTCTTAGTTGTCTCTTTTCCAAGCTGAAAAGTCAGAGTCTTATTAATCTCTCCTCCTATGGCAGCTGTTCCATACCCCTAATCATTTTTGTTGCCCTTTTCTGAACCTTTTCCAATTACAATATATTTTTTTGAGATGAGGTGACCACATCTGCATGCAGTATTCAAGATGTGGGCATACCAGGGATTTATATAGAGGCAATATGATATTTTATTTCTTATTATCAATCCATTTCTTAATGGTTCCCAATATTCTGTTCGCTTTTTTGACTGCTGCTGCACATTGAGTGGATGTTTTCAGAGAACAATCCACAATGACTCCAAGATCTCTTTCTTGAGTGGTAACAGCTAATTTAGACCCCATCATTTTATATGTATAGTTGGGATTAGGTTTTCCAGTGTGCATTACTTTGCATTTATCAACACTGAATTTCATCTGCCATTTTGTTGCCCAGTTACCCAGTTTTGAGAGACCCTTTTGTAGCTCTTTGCAGTCTGCCCGGGACTTAACTGTCTTGAATAATTTTGTATCATCTGCAAATTTTGTTGCTTCACCGTTTACTGTTTTTCCAGATGATTTATGAATATGTTGAATAGGACCATGCCCAGTACAGACCCCTGGGGGACACCACTATTTACCTCTCACCATTCTGAAAACTATCCATTTATTCCTACTCTTTGTTTCCTATATTTTAACCAGTTACCAATCCATGAGAGGGCCTTCCCTCTAGACAGCTTACTTTGCTTGAGAGCCTTTGGTGAGGGACCTTGTCAAAGGCTTCCTGAAAATTTAAGTACACTATATCCACTGGATCCTCCATGTCTACATGCTTGTTGACCCCCTCAAGAATTCTAGTAGATTGGTGAGGCATGATTTCCCTTTACATGTTGACTCTTCCCCAACAAATTATGTTCATCTATTCGTTTGACAGTTTTGTTCTTTACTATAGTTTCAACCAGTTTGCCCGGTACTGAAGTCAGGCTTACAGGCCTGTAATTGCCGGGTTCACCTCTGGAGCCCTTTTAAAAATTGGCATCACATCAGCTATCCTCCAGTCATTTGGTACAGAAGTGGATTTAAATGATAGGTTACAGACTACAGTTAGTAGTTCTGTAATTTCACATTTGAGTTCCTTCAGAATTCTTAGTTGAATACCATCTGGTCCTGGTGACTTATTACTGTTTATCAATTTGTTCCAAAATCTCCTCTAATGACACCGCAATCTGGGACACTTCCTCAGATTTGTCACCTAAAAAGAATGGTTCAGGTTTGAGAATCTCTCTAACATCCTCAGCCATAAAGACCGATGTAAAGAATTCATTTAGTTTTTTCCCCACAATGGCCTGAACATCCTTGAGTGCTCCTTTAGCATCTTGATCATCCAGTGGCCCCACTGGTTGATTAGCAGGCTTCCTGCTTCTGGTGTACTTAAAAAAAAAATTGCTATTACTTTTTGAGTCAAATTCTTTTTTGGCCTTCCTAATTATATTTTTACATTTCATTTGCCAGAGTTTATGCTCCTTTCTATTTTCCTCACTAGGATTTAGCTTCCCCCTTTTAAGGATGCCTTTTTGCCTCTCACTGCTTCTTTTACTTTGTTGTTTAGCCACGGTGGCACTTTTTTGGTTCTCTTACTATGTTTTTTTAATTTGGGGTATACATTTAAGTTGAGCCTCTATTATGGTGTCTTTTAAAAGTTTCCATGCAGCTTGCAGGGATTTCACTTTTGGCACTGTACTTTTAAATTTCTGTTTAATTAACTTCCTCATTTTTGTGTAGTCCCCCTTTCTGAAATTAAATGCTACAGTGTTGGGCTGCTGTGGTATTTTCCCCACCATAAAGATGTTAAATTTAATTAAATTATGGTCACGATTACCCAGCGGTCCAGCTATATTCACCTCTTGGACCGATCCTGTGCTCCACTTAGGACTAAATCAAGAATTGCCTCTCCTCTTGTGGGTTCCAGGACTAGCTGCTCCAAGAATCAGTCATTTAATGGGTCAAGAAACTTTATGTCTGCATTGCGTCCTGAGGTGACGTGTAGCCAGTCAATATGTGGATAATTGAAATCCTTCATTATTGAGTTTTTTATTTTAATAGCCTCTCTAATCTCCCTGATTATTTCACAGTCACTATCACCATCCTGGTCAGGTGGGCGGTAGTATATCCCTACTGCTATATTCTTATTATTAGAGCATGGAATTACTATCCATAGAGATTCTATGGTACAGTTTGGTTCATTTAATATTTTTACTTCATTTGATTCACACTTTCTTTCACAGTGCCATTCACCCACCAGCACAACCTGTTCTGTCCTTCCAATACATTTTGTACCCAGGTATTACTGTGTCCCATTGATTATCTTCATTCCACCAAGTTTCTGTGATGCCTATTATATCAAGATCCTCATTTAATATGAAGCACTCTAGTTCACCCATCGTATTATTTAGACTTCTAACATTTGTATATAAGCACTTTAAAAACTTGTCACTTTTTAGCTGTCTGCCATTACATGATATAATTGAATGGGACTTTTCTTCATTTGACTGTTTCTCATCAAATCCTACCTGTATTTTATCATCATCCATCCTCTCCTCCTTACTAGGATATAGAGAATCTCCATTAGTAGATCCTCCCCTAAGGATACCGCTGTCCGAACCATGTGCTGCTCCGCACCTGTCGGCTTTCCCCCAGCCCTTATTTTAAAAACTGCCCTACAATCTTTTTAATTTTAAATGCCAGCAATCTGGTTCCATTTTGGTTTAGGTGGAGCCCATCCTTCCTGTATAGGATCCCCCTTTCCCAAAAGTTTCCCCAGATCCTAATAAATCTAAACCCCTCCTCCTTACCTACACCATTGTCTCATCGACGGATTGAGACCCTGCAGTTCTGCCTGTCAAAGTGGCCCTGCGTGCAGAACTGGAAGCATTTCAGAGAATGCTACCATGGAGGTCCTGGACTTCAATCTCTTACGTAGCAGCCTAAGAACCTCTCTTCTATCCTTCCCTATGTCATTGGTATTACATGTACCATGACCACAGGCTCCTCCCCAGCACTACACATAAGTCTATCTACATGCCTCGAGAGATCCGCAACCTTTGCACCAGGCAGGCAAGTCACCATGCAGTTCTCCCAGTCATCTCAAACCCAGCTATCTACGTTTCTAATAATCGAATCCCCCAAAACTATTACCTGTCTCTTCCTAATAACTGGAGTTCCCTGCCCTGGAGAGGTATCCTCAGTGTGTGAGAATACCACATCATCTGAAAGGAGGGTCCCAACTATGGGATCATTTCCCTCTGCTCCAGTTCGATGTTCTCCTTCCCTGAGACTTTCATCCTTCTCCACAGCACAGAGACTGTCAGACTCGGGGGTGGGACCGTTCTACTGTGTCCCAGAAAGTCTCATCTCTATACCTCTCTGTCTCCCTTAGCTCCTCCAGTTCAGTCACTCTGGTCTCCAAAGCCCATACATGGTCTCTGAGGGCCAAGAGCTCCTTGTACCAAATGCACACATACGCCACCTGCCCACAGGGCAGGTAATCATACATGCTATGCTGCATTGGGTACAATAAACTGGATAGCCCCCACTCTGTTGCTGGACTTGTGCCTCCATTATCTTTTTACTCCTGCAGCTAGTTCCTTTCTGGTTGTTTTGTTATTATCAGGGGGTTCTTGGCTTTAAGTTTAAATAATGTTAAGTGTATCTAGCCCCCCGGTTCACATTCCCTCGTCTAAACACTCCCTCGCGAAACTCTTCTGTTAGCTACTCCTGGTCGCTAGCTCCTCTGGACACTTGGGAGCGGGCTTTTTAAAGTCCTGGTCTTCCTGAGTAGCCCCGCCCCCTGGTTAAGGGTTGATGGGTGCTAAAGTGCTTCGGAATCAAAACCTCGTTAAGAAGCTCTCAGCTTTGCCTAACAGGCTGCTAGGCTCATCACACACACATGGTCAGACAGTGCCGTAACAAGGGCAAGGCGAGTGAGGCACTTGCCTCGGGTGTGCAAAGCAGAGGGGCGCAGCTCTACTGCCCAACCGGAGGGGGAAAAAAACAAAAAACAAACAACAATAACAAAAACCCACGTGATTGGCGGTGCTTCGGCAGCAACTCTACTGCCACCACTTTTTCGGTGGCGGGCCCCTCAGTCCCTCTCAGAGTGAAGGACCTGCCACCGAATTGCCGCGGCCGCTTCATTCATTCTTTGGCGGCAGGCCCTTCCCTCCGAGAGGGACTGCGGGACCTGCCGCCGAATTGCCACCGAAGAGCCTGGAGCTGGCCCTTGCCTCGGATGCAAAAATTCCTTGTTACGGCTCTGCGGGTCAGCACGCAGTCCCCCAAACAAACAGACCACACAGTATATTTCAGTCATGCAGCAAGTACATCACAAGCACAAACACATACATGCTACAGACCACAAACTTACCCGAACCATAATCGCTCCTCCTTCACCTGGAGAACTCCCTCACAACACTCTCCTTATTGTGTTACTTAACCCACATGTAAAATGTAGCTAATAATTATTACCCACTTTTGCTATGTCCTTTGAGACTACAAATGAAGTATTACCACAGTCCTATTTTTATAAGTGGTCAAACAGAGAGACAAAGTAAACTGGGAGGCACTGTATGTTAGTATATTAAACATTGGTCTTCACAGTTAGACTTGAATACTAATAACTTGTAACCTTGGGCAAGCTTGTTAATATCTTTGAGACTCTATTTCCTCAAATAAAAAATGGGAATTATACCACTACTTTGCCAGCCTCACAGTATTAGTTAAGGCTAGACTGTGGCCCTGAAGTGCCTAAAGGCACAAAACCTGCTTATTTAAATAATCATATATCCTCACACTCTGGGATAATCACCAAGTAGCACAGGAGGAATGCCAGGAGCATAGCCAGAGCAATTGTGTTCTGGTGATTCTCCAACTGCTAAAAAAGAGAGCTTATCTGGTCAGGGTAACCACAACACTCACTTGAGCTGCTGGAGATCAGTTTACTGATAAATAAACTGTGGTTACTTTGACAACCACCCAAGGCAGAAGAATGCTGACAAATTCTAAGCAGATGACCATGTTGGCTAGCAGCTACAAATTAATATAGGCCCCAAAAGCTCATAGAGGCCTGGAAAAGGTAAGAAATGTAACCCCTCAGCTTGGTAAAGAAAATCACAAATGTGTGTGCTTGGAATATGAAAAGTTGACACACAAAACATACTACCGTCTAGACTTGGCCAAAAAGGAGAAAAACTTGCAGTAAATTTAGGAGATTTTAAGTCATTCTACATTCTGCTGTTTTTCCTACACCTCTACCCCAATATAACGCGACCTGATATAACACGAATTCGGCTATAACGCAGTAAAGCGGTGCTCCGGGGGGCCAGGCTGCGCACTCCGGTGGATCAAAGCAAGTTCGATATAACACGGTTTCACCTATAATGCGGTAAGATTTTTTGGCTCCCAAGGACAGCGTTATATCGAGGTAGAGGTGTATCTGATTTTTCATTTTCCTCAGGTTGTATTATCTTATCTCATTTCCACAGGGACTGAGGGGGAATGATATGCAACCTCAAACTCTGCCTCCATCTCACCCACCTCTCCAGACCTGCCCACTTGCCACTCTTCCCCCGTCACAGACCATGGACCCTGTATACAGAGAGGCCTCAGAAGAGGAAGAAGGGGATAGAAGGAAGGACCCCACAGAGGTGGCAGAGACCCCATTCTGCTCTAATCCAGTGGGCCTTATCTGGAACATTCTTTGGGAAAATAAAAGGGCTGAAGAAGTTAATAGTAACAATAGGTTGCTTCTTCTCCAGAGAATGAAGAAGAGTATATTTAGGCTTGGAAGGCATAGCTATTTATAGGTAAATGTCGATAAACATCAATTTCACTGTACACACACAAACCGATTGATTATAATAAAAATTTACAGATACACAAAGTAAGAAAAATGCTGCTCGAGTCTGATTTAAGGTTATTTACATTGTATATTTTGACATACGAGGTTAACAACTTGTGTTTTAACAGTTATAAAGTTTAACTTTTTGAATCTCAACATCTACTGCCATTAAATAATTGTCTGGCCGCACCCATAATTTTCCATAGCTATGAACATTCAAAGTGATAAAAATAATAACATGCTTAAAAATAAACATCAGTATTAGCTGGCAAAATTATAAAAATTAAAAATTTAATTAAGTGTATTGGACCTTCCCAGATGAGGACCATGACCTGCTCTGGAGATGCACTGGATTCTAATTCAGTAATTGCTTTTCATTTTGTAAAAGGGAAGAGAAGAAATATTTCTATATATCTTACCTTCAGGTTTTTGAAAGGATTGTTTTTGATCTTTATTATGTTGTACCCTAAATTGAGCTCTGTCAGGCTGGAACAGGAAGCAAAAACATTGTCAGTGAGCTCATGCAACTGATTATGTTGCAGCTTCAAAACTTTCAACAGGGGCAAAGTTTGGCACAGTTCTGGCTGAAGTTTAGAGAGGGAGTTGGATCCTGCATCCAAGTAAATAAGCTGGCTGTACTTTGTTAAATTTGCAGGTGGTAGCTTGTTTAGCTGGTTATGAGAAATGTCCAACGCTGTTATATTAATTGGGAGATCTGAAGGAATTTGTTTCAGCTTTAGATGACTGCAGTCAGCCACTTGATTTCTGATCTTACATTGGTTCTCAGCTGTTACACAAAGCAAGGAAAAGGTCAACAGGCTGTAAGACAAGCAGGCCCAACTGGGATGGGAATCTCTCATTGTTCTATCTACAAAAGAAAAATGAACACATACAGTACAAGTTATAATCATTTTGGTAAATTATGTATATTAACACTTACTGTAAAGTAAGCCAGATTATAATCAAATACTCTCCCTATGCTATATGCACTACAACACAATTTGATAATTTTAAATTACCTAAAACATTTAATCCATCCCTCCCATACAGTAGCACTCCCTTGTTGAAAAAATTAAATTCAATCACATCCCAAAAATTTAGGTTTTGTTTAAACTTTGTTTTTGTTGTTTAAAGTCTGACTGGAAATGTTTTAACTTTTTTATTTCAGTGAAAACAGGGTAGGTTTTATTTTTTAAATGCCAATTTAAACTTGGCCCAGAATTAAAATTTTGTAAAATCAAGGTGTCACAGAGTGGTACCAGCCCTAAAGAAGGAAGAAGCCAGTGCGCCTGTGATTCACCAGCTACCTAAGTGAAGCTTAAGAGAGGGCACTTAGGTCCTATAAATAGGAGGTCCTTGAAAGGTCTGTCAGGACAGGTGAGAGTTGCTAGGGTCTGTGAAGGAAGCTTTAGGTAGCTCCTGAAGGTAGGTGAGTAACAAGAGGGGTGAATTCCCAAGCCAAAGATCCAGGACTGGAGAGGGTTGAAGTCCAGAGGGACTTGCTTGTGACTTCTAAGCCAGAAGGTGAAAGGCCAGGGAACAGCAGAGGGTCTTACTGGTGTCTCCATGCATGGGCAGCTGGGCCCAGATGACCAATGAGAAGGTTAGGGGACGTGAGGGATGCTACCTCAGTGAGGATGAACTCCCAGCAGAGACACTGTGGGGATTCCTCCTAAGAACAGTAAGGTTTAACTTTAGCTAGAAGGGCTGGGGTGACTGTTGTGGTAAAAGGACAGGAGATGATTGAAGAAGAGCCTCCATGTGGTATGTGTTATGGGGATGGACTACTAGAGCCTATAGGATTTTACTAACTATGGGTAGGTCTACACTTACCTCCGGGTCCGGCGGTAAGCAATCAATCTTCTGGGATCGATCCCGGAAGTGCTCGCCGTCGACGCCGGTACTCCAGCTCAGCGAGAGTAGTACGCGGCATC